AAGAAAAAACAGTTAGGTTCTCCCCTTGTGAGGACGATCCTCCAGCACCACACCCCTTACACTTTATTGATTACCCACCAAATCAGTATGTTCACTGCAAAACCTTTTGACCAATCCTTATCTATTCAAACTTCTGACAAAAGATTAATATCTAACACCAAAATAGTGATCAGACTCCACTATACTGTTTATTGGAAAGAAATACCCCCTGCCCAGTCAATTGCATCACCAAAACATCCATAAGCCAGGACAGATTCTGAGTGACAAACTAACATGCTGTGGAAAGGCATATCACTGTCACAGAACAGTTGAGAATATTTGAAACGTGCTGTCATCAAACTATATCACCTTAGATCACTATATCACTTTTCCTTTCTTTGCAGTCTCAGGTGACTTGCTTTAATTTGGGAGGCAGTAAGATATGGATTCATTAGCACTTCATGTTTCAGAAGTTTATCTGTAGCACTTGATATCTTGCAAGGCTGACCCTAATGAACAATTTTTAGTAAGAAGTCAGGACCAGCAGAAATACATGATAGCCAACTTTGTATAAATCTATCTCTTTAATTGGCAGATTCTTTTGTTTCTAGACCAAGATCTTGTTTTTTTCTTTATCTGACATGATTGGAACAGGGCTTATATGATTTAGGAAGAAGGGCAATGTGAAAAATATTAAAAACTTCAAAAGTTTGGGTATTGTGAACACTTTATTATGAATGAAATAGTAGTGTTTCTCATAACTCCCTGGACTCTCCAAGATAAATGCAAACAACTCTAAGTAGAACAATCATTCTGTGCACTAAACTTAACAGGATATATTTTAGGCATCATTCAAAATGTGATAAAAAATGTATAGTTCCCAGTGAAGAGTAAGGAGGACATTCACAATTTCACTCACTTCTCTATTATTTAATTTTTGCCTCAACACACATCACTGAGTCTCTGTATTTCATCTCCTTTTACCTCCCAATTCCTTCATTTTATAGTGAAAGACAGACCTATGGAATAGAAGGTATTGAAATACTATTCTTGGTAGTATCAAAGCTCTAATTTTCTATCTGAATATCTGAAACTGCTGGCTATAAAGAACCTTCTTCAAAATAAATTAAAAAATGCATATAAATTGCACAGTATACCAGATAAGAAGATTCTGTTTGCCATTCTTAAAATATAACCAAGTACTTTACAGTATATAAAACCTTACCTCAAGATTCTGAGCACAAAATTCAGAACATTCACTTCCTCCATGTCCATCAAAGACTGCAGCACACAGAATGTTGTTTAAAAGGTCAGCAACAATATACCTGTCAGGGAAATATTTATGGCTATAATCTACTCAGTACTAGTACTCAGTACTAGTAACTTCAGACAAAAAAAGAAAATCACAATAATCATTCACAATCTATTAGATATAATATATGAAAGAGGAATAATTATCCCCTGTACCTGGGTGACAAGACCATGTTATGAAAAAATTGGCTGAGGGCAGGATAATGGGAATAGATTGTTATGAAAAAAATTGGTTGAGGGCCAGGGATACAGGAATGTCATCATGAAAAATTTGGTTGAGGGTTGGGTTGATGGGAATGATTTGTCATGAATGCATAAAGCTTCTGGAGGAAGATCAGACTCAGTGGGCATTTAGGAAAATGTTCTTGAATTATTTTCACTGGTAAATAAGGTTGGAAAGTAACCAGGTACAAGCTCCACGATGAACACTATTTCCTTGCTAAGGAGCCTATTCCTACCTGCCATGACTGGCAATGCAGTGTCTTATAGAAAATTTAATAATACAAAAAATAATATAAAAACAACACAAATATTAATGTTACTTTGTTATTGTTATGCAGAGTTATTACAAAGAGAGATAATATAAGTCTGCTCAACAAATGTAGCATAACCAATGACAAATATGGACCTTGAAAAAAAAAAAAAAATTATGCAGAAAAAGATATAATAACATTGCAAAGAGGAGGCAAGGAGTTCATGTGAGCCAAATCTGGGCCTATAAGCCAAACACCTTGGAGAGTTGCCACTCAGTTAAGGATAATGTCTGGATTTTGGCTCATGTACAGGCTGTAAAGAACCTAGATCCAATGGTTTAATTCTTTATATCTGAAAACTAAAGTTTGTTAGAAGGTTTATGTTTTCTTACCTATCTTCTTGGTAAGTCCTCTTCCCAAGTATGCTTGAACATCCTACATCTGCAGCTGTGACCCTGGGTATTGGGGTGCCATGCTTGATACTTTCATCCATCATAATAGGCAGATCCATGTGATTATCCCAAGCTCCTAAAGTATCAAAATTGGTATCTGGCTGTTGCTTATCTTCATTGTCATCAGTTTGCACACTGATGTCATTTTTCTTAGTGGTTGAGTCTGATGAGAGAGCAACTTTCAAGAAGCTGTTATCATTTCTACTTTTTCTCCAACTAAATCTTCCCTTAATTCCAAATAAACTTTCTTGTACCGGAAACTGAAAGCCTTGAATATCCGTTCTC